ATATGGTAGTTTCCCTACTAGTGGGACCCCAAGATAAATCCTCAAATACTATACAATAAAAAATCCCTACAATGGGGTGCCCTAAAAGGGTACCCATGATTTTGGGAAACTCCCATATACTTTCAGCTCCAAAGCCTTTTCGTTTTCAAGTCTGGACACAAACTCAAAAATCAGAAGCCCATGCTATCAGGCTTGAAGTAGCTTCATCTCAGAATACCATAACCTGACCCACAGAAAAATCATGCAAGGTTTTTGAAAGATTAAATATGACAGTCTAACCGTAAATTCTAAACCCTGAACCCTCAACCCTAAATCCTAAACTGGACTCTAAGGCCGCTGCCGTACTTCGAGGCGGAAAACAACGTCATCAGCCTTGCCAGAATAGAAGCCGTGCGTATGGTTTTGGGGTTCAGATTTTATGGTTCAGAGTTTAGGGTTTGAGGGCTCTTTGGGCTTCATGTTGGAAAACGGGGTGCCGGGGGGCGGTGGTCTGGGATAGGGCTTCATAACCTGAGGCAACAGGCAAACTGCGGGAACGGGCTTGTTCTGGTTTGGGGGTTGTGTAATACAGGGGCCCAAATCATTACCCACATCCTTCTGAAAGCTATTTGAAGCACCCTTTACCCCCCCCCCCATAATACAGTAGTTCCCAGGGCATGACCGCTGAGTGTGCCCAAAGTACTGTACTTTCCGTTCTGGGGCCCATTTTGGGCGGGGCAAGACTTCCTCCATCCACCGTAGGGTGACCCACTTACATGCTTAAGCAGTTGCCGCCTGCCACCGTGCTCGAACTCGTAGCCGCCACCTTAGGCATAAACTGAACGTACCAGATTGGCTACATGCTTGGCTTTACAAACAAGAGCCTGATTGCATCAGAGATGGCAGGAATGAATTGTGGCTGTCTATGCAGTACGAGTGCTCCCATACAGATCTCTGAGCTGCGAGAGTTTCACGGTTCAGAATTTCGGGGCATCAGATGAAAGGAAGCAAAAGGTAAAGATGTGTATCCTGAAACGCATAGACGTCAAGAGCCCAAACGCCAAGCCTACATCAAGGTACTCACCAGCGATGCGTTGAGTTGTAGTAGTGAGAGATTCCTCAAAAAAGAATATCAGGAGTGAATCGTTCATTCCCCAAAGGGTCCAATCTCAGAGGTAAAGTTGAAACTTTGAAGTGATGCACCCCCTCATCCGTCTCCCCCCAAGGTGGGTGGCCTTTAAAAGTTTGGCAATAGCAAAAGTACTGTTCCTGTCATAGGCTCGTGGCCAACATATGAGCTACAGTCAATATTCACCAAATAAGTACCAGACATGGGTTCCTATTCAGGTAGATAGTACGGACTATACTAAACCACTGAAGGGGCTCGTATGGAAACCCATTATAATCGCTTTGTAACCCTAAAAATAGGATTTGCTTGAGGGGAGTTTCCATAAATTCGGGGTCCCTGCTTTTGGCGTGTATGTTGAGGTCCCCTATTTGTGGAGACTACTGGCTCCCTATGGGAGGATGTCTTGTATGCCTGAAGGATACTATACTAGTGATAAAAACACCAGCCATTATATGGCGCGTATTGCTTGTGATCCCCTCGTATACTTCTAAAGGCCTGGGATTTTCAGAAACTCCACGCGGGACTTTTGTTTACACCCTGCTCTCACTCGCGTGATAGCCGACTACTCCGCCAAGGAGACACGACTAGAAGTGGCAGGGATGTGGGTAGGGCCCACGGTTGAGGACTAAGTTGTAGTAAAATTAGGGTTTTAGACTAGGTCATATGGCTTTTGGAATAGGTTATACAAGGGCTTTGGGAGCAATCTTGCGGCTTAGGAATAGCTTTAGGGCTCTGAGATTTAGAGCTTGGTGACAGTGTAGGGCTTTAGGGGCTAAATCTCCACGTTTAAGATGGTTCTAATTAATGATCTGAAGATTCGGAATTGTATGGGTGGTGAATACAACAGGCATACTTGCTTGGGGGCTTTCCAAGGTATAGCTTGAATTCTGAGGAAAAGTCATATGCCCTCCCATGGTCCCTTATTCGCCCTGTTTCATACTGCTCTTGCACATTTTGGGTATCGTGGTTTCTGAAATTTGGATGCCAATCAAGGCATACACCATATCCATTGGGGCTATAGGGGTCTATGTAGGGGTTACCGGTTCCTGTATGTCGGTGTGACATGATAACTGTATGCAACCTGGTATAGCCCCGTAGTACCCTAAAACCTAAGACAGCCCGATATAACCTCACATGAAACCATTCAGTCCAAGCTTCTCATTGAACATTTTCTGGTTTTGGGCGAATGGTCCATGACACGGCCGTCGTTACACCGCTTAAGGTTTTATGGTTTAAGGTTTTTTTAATATGCCATGCAGGAACCTTGACCCTGATACCCCAACCGGGACACTGCATCTCAAACCCGTAATCCTCCCGAACCGCCCTCTGCGCTTAGTAATACCCCGCTGTACTTATGCGCTTATTGAGCATTTTTCGGCAGATTTTTGCCAGGCCTTCTTAGATGGAGTCCCCGTTCTGGCTTCATGGCAACAGTGGGGTATGTGTACTATCAGGGGGTGGGGCTGTGTTGTAACGGGGGCAACGCATTGAACTGTAAGATCCTTACAATACCTGAAAACCCTGTATGGCTTCATGATTATAACCGGGGAGCCGCTAACATCAACCCTGAAGCCCTCACCATCAGACAGCCACGTGGTAGCCGGAAGGGCTATGGCAGGCGAGTCACTTGGTGAGACGGAGGAGCACCCCCGATGGTCAGACGGAAGCTCTGCTTTGACACTTCATTTTGTAGGGGCCCATATGATTATACCACGAAGAACCCCCAAAGCGGTGGGCGAATCAGGATCGGTTGCTTTTGAGACTTGTGAAGGCGATGATGAGGGACTTTCGCAAATATTCCTCACTTGTGGTCAATTGTAATATAACGGGACAGAGGGGCATGGTAGTTTGGGTTTGTGTGTATATATATATATGTATATATATATATCAGGGGGAGGGGATTGCAAATGCTCTAAACTGCAACTGATCTGACCCTGAAGGTCGCTCCAGCTTAGGACCCCCCAGCTTGGCTGATACAGGAGTCCACAAAGTCCTGGAGAGGGCTTGGGGGCAAAAGTTGGGTCATGAAGGGGCAATTATAGCTCCTACTACAGGGGTTTTGATAGTTACCTAGAGAACTACTTGGAGAAGAGCATGGAACATGAAGCAGAAGCTTTTTTTCTTGCGGGTTTGAAAGGATGCTGAGATACCTCTGGTTAGCAGGGAATGAAGGAACACGAACATCGAAGCTACTATACGGCGGGTGATTATGTGGGGACTACTATGAGGAATGATTCCTTCATTCCTTGCAAACCAGAGGCAATGTTAAGGTGTCAAAGCTCTCAACTAGGCTTTAAGGTTTACCGATTTAGGGCAGAGGTTTCAGGGTTTGTTCATGGTGTAGGGCTTAGGGTTCAGAGGTTTAAGGGTTTAGGATTTAAGCGTGCGCGTCATGGCCCCTGACTATTAACTCTAAAACGAAATCACCAAAGGAGAACGCATGGTGATTGTCCAATTTTTTGCAGTGAAGGGTTTGCAGTTTGGTGCTCCGGCGGCTCTGGCTTGAATTCTTTGGGGTTTAGGGCTTAACTTTGGGATCTGAAAAGCAGGGACCATTTTGATACTTTTTTTACAATCAGTATCGGGCTCCCTATTTGTGGACATCCCATCTAGGATGTGGGGGTTTTGGGGTTCGAGAAAGTTTCTCACCCTAAACCCACCCTGTACTCTAAACCCTAAAGACGCTCTGCTTCCGGCCTTGTCACTACAACGAGATAGACTGCCTTTTTTTGCTGTGACCCCCTAGATCCATAATAGAAATCTAGCCTCTGCTAATTCCTCAGGGCTATGCCATACTAACAATGAAAAAACATTTCCTGGGGAGACTACAGTTTTGGGAGGGGCTGATAGAGTTTGAGGTGTCAGTATGGTACAAGGTTGAGGGTTAGCATGCCGTCTTGCGAGCTTAGTAACTCCTAGTCTGAAACTTTGCTTAACTCGTGTTTCCAAACGATGTCCAGCTTGCTTTCCTCCAATAACTGATGTGTCGAGTTTTAGCTGGTTGGGTACAAGCCGTGTTGCCTACATGTTTCGTTGTGCTGGCGACGTACTCGCTACTTGAAGATGTTGGGTACTTCGAGGCATCTCCAATCATGTCAGGTAGGGTTGCTTGGCGGGCCCCTGGGTTTGTGATTTTTCCCAACATGCTTGAACGTTTGAGACAGTCTCGCCCTAGACCCTTAACGCTGACCCCCAACCCTCACAGACCGCCTAAACCCCAAGCTGAAACATGAAATCCCGAACCCTGAAGTTCCATCTCCAAAGCCAACGCGGAACCACTAATATAGCCACCTTTAATAGGACTGCTGCCTATGTTGAAGCTCTCGTTTAGTTTTGGAGAGGGCGCAGTCCTGGAAAGTGCGATGGAAGTGTCCAATAGTTGGAAAAGCCACCTGAGGTAATGCAGGGCTAGTAGTATGTAGGGTTCAGGCTGGACGGTTGAGGGCTTTTGAAGCTGAGAAGTTTAGAAGCCACGAGGGCTGTGAAGTGGATTCTGGTGATAAATCGAGCGTTTTCCTACGCGTGGCGATTCTAGAGCTGGACCCTACTTGAAGCTTGTTTTATCCGGCCTCTATCAGGTGCGGTAGTCATGTCGTGTTCCTTCCCAGCAAACAAGGATCCCAGTTAGGGGCTCGAATGAAGAAACTGCTCAAGCCCTAACAACCTACTGAACGAATAGATTCCAGAACACATGCTTGGCACCAAAGTAACGAGGTATACAATCCTGAAGAGGCTGAAGGAATCCTCGAGAAAACGCACGCCACCCTCCCCCCCCTCCCCCCCCCGCCCCACCTTCCAACAGAATCACAGCTGAAAGATCTACCCTGCCCAGGAATCCTCAAAACCCCAATCCCAACCTAACACCCACTTCCAATGCCCATTTCGCGCGGACCTTGTCGCTCTCCTGCACCTTGCAGGGAGAGGGGTCGGGCTTGAGGCTTTAGGATCTAGGTTTTCACTTTACAATATGCCCCATGGCTCTTGATTGCATCTGGTTTTGGCTGCTTGGTTTACGAGCGAACTAATTACGTTACATTTCTAGAGTGACAAAATGGCCTAGGGGCCTAGGGTTTAGGGCTTGGCCGGCTTGGGATTTAGGGAGGAACTGCAGCAGGAGCCATCGCGAGATCATCTCGCAACCTTGCCTTGGACAACTGCAGGTGTGCCAAGACATGAGCTCCAAAAGCAAAACCCGTAATCCTTGGTTGCTTATGGTTTGAAGTCCAACTCTTTCGTTTCCAGGAAAACCCAAAGTCCCTTGCAAAAAACGCCAACATCGGACACCAGATATACTTGCCCAAGCAGACATGGCACACCCAGAGATGCCCCAAAAATGATACTCTGCTCTTTGAAGCAAGCTCACGTGGGTTTTCATGAGTTCCGGGTTCCTCACATAGGGGTTCCATGAGTACAAGCAGCAGTTGTTGCTGCTGTTGCTGCTGTTGGTGTTGTGTTCTTATTCTTGACGAGGACGAGGATTAGGACTACAGTTTGCCCAACTTGCCGGCCTCGACCCCGCCACTCACGAAGCGGCCAAAGGCCCCAAGACCGGCCTGGGTTCAGGAAGCTAAGGATGCCGGGCTTCGGCGTAACTCTAAGGTTTAGGATCCATGTTTCAAGTTGAGAGTGATCAAAGATGGGATACCATGTTCGGGAGCTAAGAGGTGGATGCTGCTCCTCCCAGGGCTGTGGGGAGGCCATCGTATTGGGGTGATTCCCACCAACATTCACGCAGCTGGGGTTGTGTACGTAGACCTTGAGTGAAATATTGAAAGGACACCATACAAATGAGACACCCAAATTAAACTGCTACATTGGAGACTGCATGAGGTGTAGGTGCGTGGGTGCATGCGCAACTGAAGCCTGGTTGTGCCTCAAATACCTGAAAAGGTCGAAATCCAAGCTTAAGAAGTCCTTGCTCTAGGAAACTAGGCACAAAAAATGCTGACCGGAAGTTGGAATTTGACATCTCTCAACAGGGGTCCCCCCTCATAGGGAGCTGCCCGACAAGACTGGTGATTTTGAGAAGCCCTCCCGCATCCGAGCAACGGAGTTTGCCGGCGCCTTCCAGTCGTTCGACATGATCGCAGCACCCACATGGATCTGGTGGCTTTGGGGAGGGGTCACGCGTAAAAGTCAAGTTCGAAGGTCAAAGTTCAACCTGAGAAGATACAGTACGCTTGAAGGGAAGTACCTCAGCATGAGCAACCATAAGTCGGAACAGCAACTGTGAGCTCTACCCCCAACGGACCATGAGAATATTTTGCACCCAGCCCTCAAGGAAGCCCCCATTCCGCCCTTTTTAAATACGACTGAGCCTCAACGCGTGGCCGGAGGGGTTTCTGATTAGCAGGTTGGTGACTATCCACTGGGACAAAGAATGCCTTGCCAAGTCTTTGACAAAAGGGCTTCGGCTTTGGGATGCTCAGCTGGGAGTTTCTCGAATTCTGGATCCTCTTAGGGACCCCAGGGATATGCGGGGGACTACAGATCTCCCTCCATACACCCCAGACCTTAGGGTCCTAAGTTCCGGATGACCTTGAGGAGCCAAGCGGCGAAAGTACCATATAGTTCTGCGGTCTATCTTAGGTACGCTATACTGCAACTTTGCGGGGAAGCTGGGACAAAGATATTGGTACTTTTTAGGCCCCTGTATTGCTCCATTCGGTTCCTCAGGCAGGGAACATCAGAGTTTAGGATTTGGGTTTCGTGTAGGGTTTGGGGGCGGGGTTACGGCTAGGCTCCAAGCATTCCAGGCTGTGTCTTAGTAAGGATCTGACGCAGCCATATGTTTGGACAGCTTCACAGACGTTAGCTGGGACTTTTTAAGGCAAGGGGCGCCTTGCAGGACATCAAGGATCTTAAAACACAAAGATTACAAGGGTATCGCAGCGGATAATCTCGAGCTAGCAAGGGAACACTCAAGTTACAACCAGGTTATAACCAAAATCATGCTATCGCTGCTCTTATGGATGACACTAGTGTCTTGAGAACCATGAAATGTCATAAAACCCTATATAACCCCAATGCCATTTCACTTTCCGTTTGCTTTCCATTTGATTGTGGTGTAGGATTCCCTAAGCATTCGTAAACTTCCTGCCCCCAACTGCTGCATCAGGAGGACTACCAGGAAGGGACGTTAGACCTTAACCTCCCCTCAATCTACCCTTGTACTTATTGGGATCTGAAAAGGGATGTTTAGGGTCTAATAACCCATCCTAATAGGGTAATGCACACCCCAGATTAAGAAACCCCCTCCCTTTAAGGGCCTACATATTCGGACCCCTATTATAATCATTATTCAGGGGAGAAGGTTTATTCATCATGGGTCTACATTAGGGCTTCAATCAAGCAATTCTCAGGATTCATAAATGAGCTAGGCCCCCAAATGGGACCACACTCCCCTTCTTCAGGTTCCATGCTGGTTCGGGCGAGAAGAGAATTCGGGAAAATTGCACATGCTCCTGGGCTGACACAGCAGATTGCATCAAACCCTTAATCCTAAACCCCTAAACCCTAGAAGAAGCCCATCTTCTTGGGCACCCAGCCAAGCGCCGGTTGCGCCAAAGCTCCATGACGACGGCCTCTACTTGGAGGTGTAGGGTATCCCTGTAAAGAGGTTATATGGATATATCAGGTTAAGGGTAACCTGAAGTCATTGTTTTATGAGGACCCTTAAAAAGGGGAGATGGGGACATATTGGGTTTGGTAACTGTAGCCCAGCTATAGTTGCGCTTAGAACTTAACTAAGCCGTATTTGGGGACTTACAGGGCTCATACTTGGTTTCCACGTACGGTTGTAAGTTATAAGTGGGTCATGCTGACCTTGAACCTCCGAGTAAGCTGGATCTTTATGGGTCCCTGCCCTGACGGGAAGTTCAACTTCAACTGCAGCTGTGGAGTTTTGGTGCCCAGTTTTTGTAGGACCGTAGCAAGAATAGCTTTAGGCACAAAGCCTTTTGAAAGATACACAGGTTCGTCTATGTCAGTACAATGGAGGCATCAAAGGTCTCACATCAAAATGGTCCAAGCCTCTTCATCCCTGAAGTGCAAGGTGCTGAGGATGGCGCCATGTCGGGTTCAGGGTTCAGACTTAGGGGTCTCGGTTTTGGGGTTCAAGGTATTGGGTATTAAGGTATTGTTTTAGGCTCCATGGACTGAAGCTCTAAATCCTGGGCCTCTGTACCTCATAAGCGGAAAGCAAGCCCTGAAACCCCCACACTCCTACAGTACATGCCTCCAACCCAAATGCCTACGGTCCCAAGCCTGAAACCCTAGGCCCCAAACAGCCCTGATGTTTCCTCCTGAAGAATCCCTGAAACAAAGCCCTAAACTCTAAACCCTAATCCGGGCTCTGCCGCAGTGTGGCACGAATAGAGTCTGGCCTTCTCCGGGAAGACGCAGAAATCTCGTCCTCTCCGTCTGTTCCAATTACTGTTCCCTTGCTAGAGAAAAGCAATGGAGAGACTTATTTATAGCGAAATATCATGAAGCACGGGAATGTCGAAATGATATCTAGGTAATCCCTGAAGGGACACCTGTAATCTCCTTCTGATATCCGAACGCATCCCTGGGGACACCCCCGCTGTGAGAAATCCCCAGATGTATTGAGCCGAGTTGTGTTGATGCGGTATGGCTGCAAGAGTGCTTCAATGATTCAGGGTTTGTGTATCACAAGGCTCCTGGATAATGCCCCCGTTGATTGATGTCTTTACCCGGTAGCAGTCATATACAGCCCTGCTTTGATCACCTGCCGGAGCTTACGATTCGTAAGGAATGGGGGGACTGTTGTAAGATGGAGACAATTCCAGTTGTCTCTGCTTTAGCTCGGCAAATTTTTGAGTCCAGGCTTCCGGGCCGCTTTTCACCGGAAAGAAAACCTATGCTTCATCAGAATGTCTGAAACTTAAGCTCAAAAGCCTAAAGCCTAATCCCTATACCCTAATCCCTAAACCCTGATCCCTAAACCCGATTGCACTCACTAGACGTGTGACCTTAAAGCTCTGAGTTCTTTCTCTCCCTCGAAGCCTTGACGCCATCCACTGTGGAGCCGTGTCAAATCAAGCTCTTGTGAGTTAAATTTGTACTATCATTATCATTTCCACTATTATTATTACTAGTATTATTATTACTATCATCACTAGTATCATTTTGACTATCGTCATTACTATCAATCCGAAACATGAGAACGTGTTGTGATCTCAAATCTTCAAATCTTGTAGCCCCTGTGCTGATAAGATCTCGCCTGTTCCCATGTGGACGTAGAAGAACTGAACGCCTCAAGCAAAGACAACATTCTGTGAGGAAACAACTGGGTAGCTGTAAAGGAACTTAGATCATTTGACCATAGTCTGGGTATATGGTCAATAGTAGGGTTCCCTTATTCTGGTAACTTAACTTAAGTTCTTTAGCAGCAGCCCAGACAAGCTTCAGTTCTGGGGCCGTCGCCAAACACACTATTGTTTTAAAGCCTTCAACTCCAAAGCGTCTACCAGCATTCAAAGCACGGTGTCGGAGTCTGGCATAGCGTGGAAAGCTGAGTCACAAATAGATGTACACTTTTCTTGAGGCCTCCTGCAGCTACCGTATTCTGTAGTACTGTTATTGCTATTTCGAGTATGATTATTATTACTTCTGTTACTCTTGCTATACCTGGAACGTACCTCACCATTCTGGTGTCGAGTTTTGCTTGTTCTGTTGCCAGCCTGAGGCCTGCCACAAGATTTGTCAGCCATGTTGGACCCGACATAGCGGCAGGTACCCTTAATAGGGATAGGCTATAAGCCCCCCACGTAAATTAGAGCACAAGCCCTAAACACCAAATTCTGAGCAAGGAGCCATTTGATGTCCAAACGCCAGCAATCGGAAGAAGACCTCAACAACAAGTTCAGGGTTTCTAGTAGTTTCCATAAATCGGGAACACCAATATAGACCCAAGCCCACAAGCTCCCTAAACCCGAAACCTGCAGGGTTTGAGCTGAGGGGTGGAAACTCCTGGGAATATAGGACATGAGTTTACATGGGCTGTGGAAGCTTACTGGAAGATTTATGGCTATCGACTGTAGGCTTTTGTGACATGTTGCACCATTCTCAGTCCCAGCATTTTGAGACTTTCGTGTAGATTAGGAAGCCGAAGTGGTGAAAGATTTCCTCTATCAGCCGCATAGCCCTACTGATACCTATCTTTAAATTTCAAAATGTTTGAATGTGTTGAATTCGAAGTCAGGGCACTTAACGGGACTACTTGTTTACGTTGAGATCCCTTGAGCTCACGTGGGTCCCAGGTGATTCTGAATCAAAGCGCGAAATCGATCATTGGGACTATTATTGGACAGCTTGTGGGGCTACACCAGGAAGTCTCTCCCCTTTCATGGTGGGGTGTGGAAGGCTCTTGCCCAACTAGTTTGTTCAAAGCAATTGCCCACAAGAAGCTGTGGGCTTATTCGCTTCCACATCTCCTAGCGCAGCAGAATACTTGAAGATTCACGGGTACTTATGTTTGGGATAAAACCAAGATGGCTATATAGTAACCTATGACAGGGCACGTATAGCCCTACCCGTAACTACCCATGAACCCTAAACCCTCAACCGAATAAACCCCAAACCCTTCACCCAATGAAGCAAGCCCAAACCGTGAAACACAACAAAATGAGGTGCACCAACTCAGTTAGGAAGTCCTGAAAGCTTTGGGCCGTCCTAGTGTGAAGACAACCCCCCCCTTAAGGAACCTCCCACTCCTAAAACAAACAGTAGTCTTCAACAGGGAGACGGGTGTCTTGAGGGGGAGTTGGTAACCATTCCCATGAATAGTCTGTAGGGTGTGCACTTCACATGCAAAGATGCAGAACCACAATGCCCATTTTTGACGTGTTGAAGCCAGTTAAGCCTGTTGCATTGGATTTCTACACGGGCTGCTCCTTAAAGTGCAGGATTCAGGGGCTTTCCAGAATCAGGGGAAGCATTTTGGCGTCCAAAGAATCAGGATTCTAGTTTTAGTGGTCTATATTGGGTTCCCCTTGTTTATGGAAACTACTATTCAGGATCCAGGATGTTCCTGCGTTCCCCATATGTGGGTGTCTCGCAAAACCACACGTACTCAAGATATCAGATACCTGGTTGTTTCCAGGGAATGGAGGAATAGATCCCTAGCAAGCCAGAATATGAATCCCCGGAATGTCATACTCTCCATTTTCGTTCCCATTCCCCATTCAGCACTACAAGCAAGTGCTCTTGTGTGTGTTATGACAGGAGCATGTCTTGGGATTCCCACACAACCCTGAGCCCGGCATCCAGAACGGTGATTTCCAAACAAAACCCTCAAGCTTAAATATCACTGCTATCCATCAGACACCCCTACATATCTCTTTCATTCAGATGGCGCAATGCCGCCCTAAGCCGAAGCCCCATACACCACCTAAACCCTGCAGGCCAAGTGTTGCCCAAGGGCCTGCGAGGACTTTGCTCAAGCGCGTCGTTCGTTCTTGAGCAGGGTTAAGAGTTTAAGGGCTTGAGTTTTTTTTTCAGACGGCTTCTGTTAGGAAACTGGCAGGAGATCACTACTCCTGTTTCCATCATTGAGCACGTGTTTCTTGGACTTCGGTGCGACGTCTTTGCCCTAAGCTCCAAAACACCCTGAGAAATCCAGGCATCACAGGTTCCCGAAACCGGCAGTGTAGGGTTAAGGGTTAAGGGCTAGGCCCTAACTCGTTTAAAGCCACAGGTGCCTGCAAAGTTTGGGTTTCAGGTTGCAGGGCTAAAGGCTTGCAGTTGAGCCTTACGGATAACTCGCAATAGTACTACTGATTGCAATAATGCATTTAATAGCAGCAGTAAGAACAATGGTGATAGTAACAGGAAAATCTTAGGTAGAAGTTATGTTTATAGTGTCGGCATTTTCACTGGTAGTAACAGTAGTGGTGGTGACCCAGGGCAAGTACTGAGATGACTATTTGCTGCACGACTCACTGCATGCATGGGTGATGTTCTCAATCAGGGTACCAATTTGTAACGCAAAACACGATGACTAGTACCCAGAAGGGCGCCACTGATTTTTGAGAATAAGCCACTTGACCTAGCAATCCGCCCGATCCGAAACTCTTCATCTCAAGGCGTGAGCTCACTGCTGCTAAAGCAACCAACACCAAAACAAGCCGCTGCAGCCCACAACCAAGTCACTGCAACCTGTAACCGGTTGCTACTAAAAAGCCTGCATGATCCTAAGTACCTTATGCCTTGGGAATTATGCTCGTACAATGTGCTCAAGGCATGCAAGATTTCTACCATCCACCGCAATACTCCAAAAAAAACTCCAAGATGAGCAAGCAGTAAACCACTGCAAGGCCGCAGCCTTCTTCTGGTGGAATGACATCGGGGATAGGTCCTGAGCTAAACCCATACGGCCCAAAACCTTAGATATGTAGATTTTAAGGTTTAGGAACCATGAATGGAGCCCAGCCACTAAGGATGTTTGAGGATGATGGGTTTGTACCCTTGATAAAAACGTAGGAGTAAGGACTTAGGGGTATGAGCATAGGCAATTATGTGCATAGGCAGTTAGTGACGCACAGGGATCACAGGAGGACGATTCAGACATGTAAGCTGAAGTCAACATTACTTAAGTACGGATTTCCGAATCCTACCCCTAAAGCCTTAACCCTAAACCTTCAACCCTCAACCCTAAACCTTAACCATCCAAGGTTCTCCCTTAAGTGGAAGGGGAACCTTGGCGGGGTAGTATAGAGGGATAGTATTTCTGGTGCAGCTGATGGGCGCGGGGGCTTCTTGTGGAATACAGAAGCTATAGTCTACACTCCTAGTATCCCCCTTAATAACCCATATATCCCCCTTAATAACCCATATAATAGTCCTCTATATAACCCCCTTTAGGAAGTGTAGACATAGCCCACATGGCAGCGCATCATAACTTACCAGAAGGAACCCTGTTCCTGTAGTAACGGCAGTCGAGCTCTCCAAGTGATCAACATTCCCTGATATAAGTCTTGTCACCCACAAATACCAAGCCTTTCCAACAAAATAACGTTCTTCCATGTGATGTTTGTTCTTCTTAGCGGCCGGAGGGTTAAGTGCTAGGGGAAGTGCTTGTGATTCTCTGAATAATAAAGGGATTTTGCTTACCCCACCTGCCGAAATGAGGACCCTACGGCTGTCATATGACTGTTATAGGGCCCGTATCATGGGGGACGTAAACGCCCAAGTCAGTGCAATCCCAGTAAACCACCCAAGTCAAGACAATCCCTAAAAACCTGTGCGTAAAACTGACTTCCATTTCATTGCCCATGTTCTTTTCCCTTTGCTTCTGCTTTACAAGGATTGGAAAACCCGTTATGCAAGAGGTCTTACTACAAACGCCTGAATGATCTACTATGAAGTTTCCATTTTCTTTTCCATTATCCCAATGTAACCCCTGTATTGGGACAATGGAAACTACTATTACACACATCAATTTGAGGTATGCTTGAGGTAGCCTATGCTATAAGTTTGCAAGGAATCTGGGGCCACGATGCTGGTAAGTACTTCGTAGTTTCGGGGACCCTAATACAGCCTATGGTATACAAAAATCCTGAGTATGGGAACCCAAAGAGGTACTTCTCATTCTGGTCTGAAACAATCCTCAGGGTCATACTATAATACAAATGGAAACTGAGTCCTAAGGAGACTCAAATATTAGCCGAGACATGTAAGGCAAGGAGCCCACTCTCTCGCTATGCTTACTTGGTGGTTCCTCAAGATGGGGATCCCTTAGAGACCCTACTTGGAGGATCATGGGAAGTAATTAGTAACTATTTCTACCTGGGGCTATTCGAGATACATTGGGGATACAAATAAATGATGAGGGTCTCCGCTAAGAAGCTTTTGGGGCAATTTTGAGAAGCCCCTGTTGATTTCAGTTTTGCTGCCTAGGGTTTCGGGCCTAGAGAGGGCAGTTCAGTTTGTAGGGACAGCTAGGAATAGTGTCATATCATGATCCACGTACCTGTGACAAGAAAACCATCATACGCATATTGGCAACTGAGCCTAGCAAACATCTTCAACAACCACAGAATACATGAGCCTTAAGAAATACCAAACTATCTGGACCTCTGTTTGAGGTACCTTGTACCAAAATTATACAGGGGTTTAGAACCATAATCTTGGACCTTAGGCACTTACAGTATTCCAATGGCCCATGCCCTCAGCCGCAAAGAAAAAACACTGGCGGACCAACGGATCCCAAAGCAACATCCTTCGTTTGGGATATGGGCTATTCCGAAAAGTAGGAATTCCCGCGGAGTACGGTTTTAGGAGTCCCCCTCATAAGGGCTGTAATATGTTACAAGTCCTGAAAACAGGGGTTCCCCTTCTAGACCTTCAAATACCATGACAAATACTATGATCAAACCTTTTTTCCCCCTAAGCCCTAAACCCTATGTAACCCTATAGTAGTAGTTTCGATTTTCTTTTCCATTGTCCCTTTATAACCTCAACCCTAAGCCCAAGCCCATGTCCGGGTTTGGGCTTCTGCGCTTCCTGCGACCGAGGAACTTGCTATGAGCTGGTGAGCTTCTGACGTGAGCGGGGGTGGCGCCTGCTTGGCCCGGAAATCCATTGCGGCCCAAAGGATCTGGGGCTTAGGGGCTCCTTCACTGGTTTTAGGGGTTAAAGGGATGCATAAGGAGAACCAAATGAAAAAGAAGTTGACAAATCAAAAGACCACGTGGTGGTATACATGGTTTAGGGTTTGGAAAAATCAGGGGCACCGTTTTCCGAGTCTGTAAAAAAAGGCTTACGGTATATGGGGGTCATTCATGGGGAATATCGGGGCCACGCTCAAAGTTTGTTGAGCGCTCTTCTTTAGAAGCCGTCTCGCAGTAAACTTTCTGGGACCTTGCAAAGCTTGCTAGGGTTTTGTGGCGTGCTGTCAAACTCTTTGGCGGGATTTCATGGAACGCCATAGCTCCCTGCGGCTTGTCTACGCTAACTGGTACAAGCCATTCCGCAGCTTTGTAGATTGCAAAATTCACATTACACCCCAGGAGGACCCCCCACCCTGTAATAGTGACTATAAGGAATACCAGTAACTATATTAGGGCCTATTATACCACTATTACAAGGTGGGGTGTCCACCTAAATTACACCTTTGATCGTTTGAAGTGGTCCTCTTCAAGGAAACTCGCAATTACCGCAATCCCTAGCCCCAAGCCCCCAGATGTGCCAATAAACCCTAGGCTGCAGCTCCTTAAACTTGAAACCTGCATTTCCAACCCCAACTCCTCCTTGCAAGAGTACTGGTCTAGGGTTTAGAGTTCAGGGACCTTCTCCAAACTAGGATATCCCGCAAGATCCTCAAATATCTCCATCCAAGCAATATCTTAACATGGGTCTTATTCGCAGCCCAGCTCCAATGCTCGAAACCAATTACCCTTAATCCTACTTCACGTTCCATTTGATCTTACATTATTGGGATAGTTTCCTCATATAACCCTAATGTAATCCCTATAAAGAGCCTCTCTCTCTTTCTCTACATACATACATACATACATACATACATACATACATACAGACTTATGTAACACCCTGAAGGAAAGGTTGGGAAGGTCAACATCGTCTCATTACCACGTGGCACGTAGGACTGCTACTAAGGCTTAATCCTCTAGGTACCTATAATAAGAGTATAAGGGAATTTCAAAGGGTTAAGGGTCTAAGGCCCAAGCTAAGTCCCAAGAAGATTACACATTGCCTCGGAAGGAGAGATCTCAGGTGGAGGAGCGGCTACCTCGATTGGCGAGCAAACATGCACCGAAAGCCTTAGACCCTTGCTGGTTTAGGGGCCCTACGTTCCAAAACAGATTTCTTCAGGAGTGGAACCCCTAGGAATGCCTTAAGCAAGGCTTCTAGGGATAGGGTTTAGGGTTTAGGCTTTACCGAATCAACGGCCCACGGAATCGTGGGTATATCATGAGGGGGATGGTAACGGCCTCGCTCAAGGATGGACACAATGTAGAATCTGGAATTCCTAGCATATCATATTGAGGTCTACTTGAAACACCCTATACTAGACGATTACAAGGGATGGGGGATGATAATATTTGTAACCATTTGAGCCTCTACACTATTCTGAGTCATTGGGTTTGTAGCCTAAAGTTGCCTCTGAAGATCCTTTCTGGCATGGCCTACTTCAGGGCTTACACAGAGGACCGGGGTCACCATACATAGTGTGCATGGAGGAAATCTTGCACTACTAGGGCCCTTGAACCACCCTCGTTCCTTAGATGCAGGGATCTTTGGTGTTGCAGGATTTCCTCCATGAATAGTACCGCCTGTCAGCGTTCGATCCTTACATTCATCCGCTTGGCACTCGCCAGGCGACTGGGTTTTGTGGCCTTCGGCTGTCAAGTTGGAGATTGGTTAGGTGGACCCCCCACCCAGTAATAGTGACTATAAGCTATAAGGGATAGTGGTGATCATCTTCGGGTCCTCCTATATCCCTATTATACCACAATTGCAGGGGAGGAGGGGTCCACCTGAAAGATTGGGCTGTTGTGCGGACATATCCCTGCACAAGGGCTCGCCCAGGAAGAGCGGTCGAGGGACTCCTACTGTTTGGTACAAACTCTGACTCACCTGCAAGACACCCTAACCACCCCAACCTCCATGGTTTGATTGGTATTCCTAGGGTTATTGCTCGTAATACTGCAGCTTTTGCGGTCAGGTGAAGTTTAAGGAAAGGTTTCTGAAATCGTTTCAGGTCCCAAACTGTGGACCGATGATTTGGGGAAGCCTCCAAGTTGTTCAATGTGACGGGATGCACCTCATGGATTCGGACGATTCCGAGACCTTAAATTCATGAAGTTTCTCTAGATGGGCGCCCTTGGGGACCCCAAGCACTTATGCGGATCGCAAACGGACCTTGGAGTTGTAGTAAGAATTTAGATAAACTCCTAAGTCTTGGTTTGCAGAGCTTTTGCTTCTCCAGAACATGGACGCGCGAACAACTAGAGCAGCAGCATGTTATGCTATAATTAGTTTTGTAACTGTTATCTCAAGGGTTGGAACTATGGGCCCTTAACCCTGGCGTCCTTATGTACCCATGTTGTACCCTGTAAGGCCCCACAAGCCCAACTAAGGGCCCATAGTTAGGACCTTAGATCATAAACGAAAGAACGGTTGTAAATATTCAAACTTATGCAGGACGGGAGCTCCCCAAAACCAAACCTCCTACTCGGAATTCTTGGGGTCCATATACAGACTATTAGGGGTTATTGGGGCCCCTCGAGGCCTAAACCCCAGGCCTTCGGGTATTGGGCGGCTCCTCTACAGGGGCCCTTATCAACCCATGATAGATTACATGGCGGCAGCAGGGAAGGGCAGAACAATCGCGTGTTCGCAGACGCATGAGAGGAAAGAAGGAACTGCACGACACGAGTACCAGGACGAGGTACAATACCACATGCAAGACTTACCACATTAAACATTCTCAAGTTCCGCGATATGTCAGAACTTTCATAGTGCTGTCCTGTGTACGCAACACACAGACACACACTCCTGAACCCTAGACCTTGATTGAATCCAGCCTAAACCCTGGATCCTGAATCCTAAACGCAAACCTCCACCCTAAACTCTACCCTCTAAGCCCCAAACACTTAATCCTAAATCCCGAGCCCTGCGACCTAAACTCTAAGCCCTAAACTGTACTTTTTAAACCCTTAACTCTATTAAAACCTACACCCGAGATCCTAAACTATACAATGCTTGGCTGGTCTTAAACCTTGCCGTAGATTTAACTTTTGGTTCCCTCAATATGAAATAGAGAAACCCACAAGTTACAAAGTGCCAAAGTTGTAGTACCGTTTTATTTGATCAGCTTGAATATTTCCTACTTGCCGACCAAAGCCCTAAATCTTAATCCCTAAACCCTATAATCCCCAAAAGGGCCATCTTGGGCTGGCCTTGACATTCTCCTCGGACCAGTTCGACCAAGCAGGAGATATCTGCCGTGCAGGATCTACCTCAGCACAAGGTCTCTCAGGGTTTGTAAGCAGCTTCTATTTATCAAGGTTAGTAGCAGACAGTTGACTGGACAAGAACCTCGAACATGAGCATGCAAACTTGGTTTGTATGAGCTGCAGTCAATCTTTCCGAGATTTTTTCATGGACGTGGAAGGGTTCCTTATGAGAGAATATTTTAGCGACTATACTCAACTAGAAGAGGGACGCCCTATGTCCCCTGTTGAGGTTCCCTTCATAAGCCCCATGTTGACAGTAGCTCGTATAGGGATCTATGGGGACATTTTCTTACATCTGGTTAGCAGCAAATGAAGGCATGGAAAAGAACATGAAAACTACTGTATTCTTGGGGATTGTATAGAAGCCCCTGTGAGAATTCCCTTCTTCATGCAACCAGGGCTAACCAGGGTTTTCAGGGGACTGTAAACGGGTTGTTAAGCTTCAGGGTTTCAGGATTAGGAATTTAGCATGTTCTTGGGTAGTTAGAAGCGGGCTATATTTTGTGCAGCGATAGTTATTGCTTGAATTTAGTGGACTTTCGACTTTCTCACAGCTCCACTTACACAGCACCCATGAATCTTGATGTCGGGGGCTTACAACGCATGCATAGGGGTTGTAAGAGCCTAAATTGCGAGGGATTGAAGAGCTTAAGTCCGCAGCACCGAGAAACAACGTTGTTCGAACAGAGGAGGGCAGGGGGGCCAAGTGGGGATTGCAGGACTTGGTTGGATGATGAGGTAGAAAACAACCACGCGCAGTCAGGGGTCATAAGTACCGTGCCCAAGCCTTACCATACCCAAACAAGCATGGAACCCGATATGGTGCGCATTCGAAACGACGGCAGTCTTTGAAGGCACGTTGGGAGGCCATGTTTACCCGCGATAGCTTAATGTGTACCTTTGCCAGACCCTAAGCAGGCAGTTGCTTGAAATACCCGTCCCAAAATTGCCATGAAGTAGGTACTGTTTTGGGTTAGGAACACCGTTTAAGGAAGTGTAATTTCCATAGGTCCCTCCTTTACAAAGACTTCTAGAAAAACCCTAAACCCTTAACCCTACATCCTAAACTGTAACCCCTGGACTCTGCAGTGATAGTCCCACCTTGGCCAACTCCTCGAAAGAAGCAGGGAAAAGACCAGGAGACGATGATAGCTGCGATGTCTGTCGCGGAGGAGTGGCCTGGGCATCAAGTCTACAACATGTTTAGGCCGTATCTAGGGTAATATCTCCTTTATATTTCAAGTTATATAGGGAATACATAGGGATAATGGAAAAGAACATGGAAACGACTATTTGGGATTTAGGGTTTAGGGTTTAGGAATGAGGGGTTAGGGTCTAGCAATTAGGGTTCAGGGTTTTGAAGGGCCTATTTGACAGGGGGATGTTATTGGTTATATGGGGTTAATTATAGTGGCTATGTAGGCTTATACGGGGATACTATCCCAATAATGGAGAGCCAAATGGAAAAACAAATGGAATATGAGTTGGAAACTGGGGTTATATAGAGTTTGTAGTATGTAATGAGAAGTCTGAATTTCCCCACACCGACGAAAAAACCATAACTATCATCCGACTGTTTTTAAATCCTAGTTTTAGGGCTCGCGGTAGGTAAAATCCGTTTTTAGTGCACGGCGACCTTAAAATCAGGTTGAGGGCTACAAATCGAAGCTAGAAGTGAGGTTGTAATAGGATGACCCTTCAAATTGTGAGACTTCACCTTGAACTTGAAGGTCGAATGCGAATGAGCTGGACCATCTCCCCCCCACATCGGCGGATTGAGGGGCTGAAGGAGTTTAGGGGTTGAGGTCGTGGGTTGTTGAGGCTATAGCGGACTGCTGTCAGAGCCCACAGAAAAGAATGGCATTGTTCATGCAACACTTTTAGCAAGCTGGATTCTAATGCTGTTGCCTCATCCATGGACGAAGTCACCCTGTCACGTTCGCACAAGGCGCCGGGGGCTTGCCCCTAAGCCTTAAACCCGAAGCCCTAAACCCCTAAACCCGGGCTATGGGAGGTTGAGGGTTCTGGGGCTGAGGCCATAGGCTTCAGATTTGGGTCAACAAGTTTCCATCTTTGGACTTTTGGCCACATATGTGGGGCAAGGTATGGGGGTTCAGGAGCAGGCATGCCTACAAAGCTGCACCCCCATGTGCACACTCAAACCCATAACAAAATTCTGCTCCTGCTTAAGCTGGCGAATGTAAGTTCGAGGTACCGCCTCTATCGCATTAGGAACTCTGTATCAGACGACGCATTTTCAAAAACAGCTAATGACAACCGTAAGCACAGAGCACTCTCCCAACAAGAAGCCGCGCCCGAAACCCTACACCCTCGCCCAATGAAACTCAAAACAACCTAAACAACCAGTAATCACCTCCTGCTTCAGTTCCCCTCCCACCTCACAAATAACAAGGATTCGCACCAATCTATATTGGTCCCCCGCTGCGGGTATTTGTTGTTTTGCGGGAAGGGGAGGGGAAGGGAATTACAACCCTAAACCCTAAACC